GCAATGTAATTCTAGATGTCATTCAAGTCTTTCATGTGCAAACAAACATTCCTGAGTGTCAATCTGACTGCTATTTGTCATACCATTCATGTCATACCATTCACGTCATACCATTCACGTCATACCATTTTATGAAATAAAAGATTGAACTGTTTAAGCTTATTTCTGTGATTTTTGTGTAAGGTATCTGGTTACAGGAGGTTGTATTTACTTTGATAGCAAACTAATTTCACACATTATAAAAACAAGGCAGGGATATGCTTTCAGTAAACATGGTAAACAAGTATAAAATCCCTTGGTTCATTTCAGTGATTATGTCTAATTACTGAAGATTTCAGTAATTAGACATAACCACCGAGTGAATCAGTTATTAGACATAATCACTGAAATGTTCAGTCATTAGACTTAATCACTGATTATACATGTTTCCTGTAACAGATATATATCCATTCTCTATCCACTACAGTTCGTTTCAATGCGTCAATAGCTTTGGGACAACTTTTGCATCACATGAGGTTTACATATACGGCTTATAACAATCGTACATCTCGTTATAATAGTCATCATTAAGTGCCAAAAGTAACAGCTCACAAATATGGTTGGTGGTGCTTAACTTTTGTGCAAGTGTATATTTTGATAAATGCCCATTCACCACCATAACTTCATTTCGGAGGTGACATTCGCCACAGTTGCTCTTTCTCAATAAACAACTCAGCATCTGTTTTCTCACTCAGAGTAATTTAATTGAACCGCGTCGTGCCATTTGAATTGGGCCTGAGTGAAGCAATGTTGACGATTGAGTCCACGGTACATGTCATAACATCATGGAGCTATAATACACTGGATATATCAAGGACGATTCAAAACCACTAAATATGAAATTTTGAGACAATTATTACCAAACTCAATATTTGTGTTTTGATTGTTATTTCTGTATGGGATCAAGGTTACTGGCAATTACATTCTAAATCATGTCACAAACATCAGGATATGTATTTTATTTCACACACACACACACACACACACACACACACACACACACACACACACACACACAAAGTCGTCAAAGAAGATGGGCAGGAACGTATCTGTCATCAGCAAGCAGTAGTATTGCGTCAGCGTTATTTGCAGTTAAACAACAGTGAACATGCACGTGCAAATTGTGAATCACAAAACTGGAAAATAGAAGCCTTGGCTGTGATCAGTTTTCTCCAGTTCCTGTATGGCGCACTTGTAATATAGCGTCTGAACAGCCCCGGAGGCTGTTGTTAGCTTGGTACCTTCCAGATAAGACCGACGGCCCCACGGCCGGGTAACACTATTTGATAGTTGATTGAATGTACTTTGTATCCTCCAGAACGACCTTTATTTCGGCCAATGACACCAATCGTCCCTCCTACTGGTCCTGATGATGCGTTACATTGAATGCCGGAAGGCGAGAATCTAAATCTGCAAACATGGCCAAGTTGGATGCTAGACGATCCCTACCCACGGAGAGCCGTGAAGATCCGGGGTAGAATAGGTCTTCAGCAACCCTTGCTTGCCGTAAAAGGCGACTATGCTTGTCGTAGAAGGCAACGTTGGAGCGTTCGTACTTTATTTGGCTGACCCGTATCCAAATTTGGATGACCCGTACCCATTTATTTTTTAAAGCAAGATGTCCGAAACCGTATTGCTTTAATCCGTATAGACGTAAAAACGACAAAAAAAGTATGTGTTTCCAATTATTTATTCAACACTAAACATCGCCAGAGTCAAATATCATTTCCGGTCATAGCTACAGGTAAAAGGAAAACTATTAATGTTTAAAGTCATATATATTTTCATCGGGTAAGGATTCGCTATTAGGGGTACGAGTCGTCCAGTTGATTAGGCGTGACGTGGTACGGATTATCCAACACTTGTGTAGGAGTCCGCCAAAAACGTTTGGGTATGGATTGCCCAGTTCCCGCCAAGTCGATAGGGTTTATTCTAAAAGATGGGGTTGCCTGACAATCATTAACGGCTTGCTCCCTCTGTGGCCTCCCGATGCTTGTAATCTGATTCACGGTTACCATCTCGATGTTCCCTATTGGAGTGTGACTGTGGGATCAGTCTTTCCCTTACTGGCCTGATAGGACTCTTTTCCGGAAGGTAGAACTTCTTTTGGGGGGAGTCACGGAAAATTCATTCATGTTCTCTTCAATCTCATTAAAATCAGATTTTAGTTCTCGCTACTGCTAAACAAAGATCTGAGGACATCCCATTACGGGTCACGTCAGTCTTAACTTTGACTGACCAATGGAATGACCAATCAGAAGGCAGCTTTCTCGTGCTTTACGGCACTAATTTCAAATTGGCGACTACGTTTCGAGACATATTTTGACAAATTCTCGATTACAAATTTGAAACCTGAACAGAAGAACATTCTGGAATGGCTAATAGATGGTCTAGATTGTATGGATTCAGTCGTTAAACCCGTAACTATCGTTCGGAATACCCCGTGTTAAAGTTTTCGAGGTTGTATGATTAGAAATCACATTCCGACTGTCACTTTCATGATCTGGTAAGCGACGCTCTGATTGGTCGGATGAAAGGTCGTTCTGACGTGACCCCTAATGGGATGTCTTCAGATCTTTGTTTAGCGGTAGCGAGAACTAAGGTCTGATTTCAATGAGATTGTGTTCTCTTGATCTAGTGAACCGAATTTCGTGTGCTGGTCGCCAAGTTAATGGTGGAGTGATGGCAGCTATCTGTAATGTCCTGGCGCACCTCCTCCTTACCGTGGTAAGTTTGCTATTAAAAGGACGAGTCGCTGAGACAGGTTGAATCATCTCAAACCTCCTGGTTTGCTCCAATACTGCCTTGGTAAGCACTTGGGAGAGAAGATGTTGCCTATACATCCTTTTGAATTGACTGAACATCAACAGTTGGGTGGTGACAAGCTCCTCTTGAATTTGAGTGTGAGTGAGTTGGGTTTAACGCCGCTTTTACAGTATTCCAGTTATATCGCGGCGTGTCAGCTTAATGTGGGAGGAAAGCCCGAAGTGATGCAGGTCTCAGACGTTTACCACTACGGTGAAACCCACGTGCACGGGTATGGTGCTGACAAACCTAGAAACATAATCGGGGCGAACCGGGATTCGAGCCCACAATCATAGGTTTCTGGCGTGCCCAAGGTACGCAACTCTGCACAGCCAATCGCGGCGCCTGAGACGACTGGGCCACCCGTGCCCCCTGTGAGGTCATAGGGCTGTAGTTTCAGCATCATGCTCTGTAGGCGCATAGGAGCTGATAACAATGACTTGAAAATTATTTATTTTTTTGTAATAATCTTTTTATTCAGGATTCAAAATACATTGCACACGGTACTCTGCACAGCGAATTGCGGCGCCTTAGACGACTGGGCCACGCGTGCCCCCTCTTGAATTTTATCATTCTAACAATCTAGGAATCCGGGTATCAGTCTATCTTGATCCACATTAATGGTAACCCGAGTCTCTCTCAGCCTACTCCTGCGACGAACTACATGTAGTTAATGTGTGACCCAGAATCCATAGCTGTTAGTTGATCGAATCCATATGTCTGACTTTATAGATAAGGGCATCGACAGTCTCATATCAGGAGACTTTTAGTAGTCTTTAGAAATCCTCATCCACACTGGGAGGGTATGCAGGGCCCTATTGCACAAAGCGAACTTAGCGCTTAGATGATCGTAACTCCCATACTTTAACATAGGCCTACAAGAGTCTTGCGCGCGTAGACCGCCTCCGTGATCTAGTGGTAGAGCGTCCGCCCGGAGAGCGGAAGGTTCGGGGTTTGATCCCCGACCGCGTCATACCCAAAGACGTTAAAAGATGGTACTTGTTGTTACCCTGTCTGGCGCTCGGCATTAAGGAGCTAAAACAAGGACTGGTCGGCTCGGAGTCAGTATACTGTGTCTGAGTGGGGTATTCATGTTAAACTGCGGCATTGTATCTCAGTGAGCTAGCACTATAAATCGGCATCAGTCCAGACTAGTACAAGCAGGCACACAAACACACACACGTACTTGCACGTCGCTATATAAGTGCAATAATCTTGGACGCGACGTGAAACCCCATTTCACCTCACCTCACCTCTTGCGCGCGGTACGTTTGGCCATGTGCTGTGCTTTATTTGTGTTTGGTTTTAGAAAGTTACATGGGGATGAGAAATAGTTGTAAATCTATGTAACAAAGTTTAAAAGAAAACCTTATCTTTATCTCGCACGTTTATAATTATATGTGTACATACGAAATACATAACTAATTATGAAAATATCATGTAAAACATTCCTAACTGTAAATTATTGCACTAAACACGTTTGCGTTAGTCAGCAGAATGCTCAAAGGGAGGCAAACTCTATAATATGAGTAATTGTTGGAAAGATGTATAAAAACAATCTTCAAAAGAAAACAAGTCTTTGTCTAATGTATAATGATAACGTATCAGGCTACAGCAGTAAACGTACAGTACGTTTGGTATTAGGGAGGTATGATTCATGGTTAATAATAACTGCATACTCACAAAATTGTGGGTTTAAATTCTAACAATATCTGCATGTCTCCACTGACCTAGTTCATAATAAATAATATTACAATAATGTAACTATTACTTTGAAAAGACTAATTATGAAAAATATTAATAACATTATTCAAAACATGTTTATGCCATTTCCGTCCAACCATTGTGTTGCTTTCATAATAATTGTTCATTCGTATCAAGACATGCAACATATGATATGCCAACAAAAGAGTGTTTATGCCATTACATTCAATTAAAATTCTAAACATTTATCATGTATACCACTATCACTGTCAACTAAATATCTCTTCCTTTAAAACGGTAACACATGTTTCACGAAGTCGTTGTTGTTAAAACATATTACTAGTTATGTTTTAATGATATGTTTTTGTTTTCTATTTTTATATTACATATGTGTTTAAGCTCCTAATGTGTAATTTTTCCATTCCTAATTCACCAATACATTTACAATTCATACGGGCAGCCAATGTAATCACTGAAACCCAACTGTCTTAACTCTGATTAATGACAAGCAATTGAAAGTGTAGTGTAATATTACTAAATAATATGACAAAGTTTAGTAGACTTTCAAACTGTATTGTTGACGGATTTCATTTTGGAACATGAGGATGTGAGAAAGTATGTTTTCTTTATTTCTTAATCTTCTTTTCTTTTTCCTTTTTTTAGGTCGGGTGGGGTGGGGGAGAGCATGGTCGTGTGTACATGTTCGTGCTACCAATCTCGCCAGAAAGTTGTATGCACAATTCTATTGTGGTGAAAACATAACAATTCAGTCGACGGAATAAAACAACGCTCGTCGAGGAAATCGGAATCATGTGTTGTTGTATTACAATTTATTTATTACAACATTTAAAAAAAGTATGACCGAGTGGGGGTCGAACTCATGTAGCTATATCTTGGGTCCCCAGAAATATCAATGTGCATGAACCACATGGAGTGATGTCCCTTTGATAACCACTCATTTCCGAAGACGACAATGAGAGAAAAAAACGAAAAGGCTGGTCATAGCCAAATTACTTGCAGATTCATGTAACTTCCCACTTGTTTACCCGACCTAGAGCTGTTTCTCGCCGAGGTAAGAGTGTACAGAGTTTTGAAAAGCCTCGGAAACGGTCGAGAAGGAATATGATACCGCTAGGTGCTGTGGAATGTAACTAGGCCCTAGATCACAGCCAGGGGCACATGTCTCTGTCTCATCGTGCCCACTGGATCACGAAATGTGTATTTCGTACTAAAATGGATATTTCGTGATTTGTCTATCTATCGTTATGATTCTCATTAACATCGCTCTTTTTTTAATATTGCCTACACATCAAAATAATTTCAGGGGTTTGTTTTGTCCTTGTCTATCATGAATTATCTCCCCTGACGCGACCAAATTTCTGCACGCTGTTGATTTTATTGGTTGATAGATAATAATTATGTCAACAAACCAACCAAATTAAACTTCCAAATAAGCATCATAGTAATTATGATTTGAAGCATATTGGTAAACTTCATTTCTGAGATTGTTTGAGTTCATAAATATGAGACAAATAATATAACGAAATGTTTTGATTTGAAGATGTTAATTTGGTTAATTTATAAATCAAACTGTTTACTTCAAAGAATTTTAACCACAGGACCATGTAGATCTAACTAATATTCTGGCCTACGAGTTTGTTAGTATAGAATGTTAGTTATCCTGAAGGGGTGTTTGTTGGCAAAGGGTACTACAGATATGTACCCCACGTACAGTAAAGGGCTAAACAAGGACTCGTCGGCTCGGAGTCAATATAGTGTGTCTGAGTGGGATATTCATGTTAAACTGTGGTGTGGAATCTCAGTGGGCTAGCACTATAAAATCGACATTAATCTAGAATAGAACAACTACGACAAGCAGCCACACACACATGCATGCACGTCACTATACTAGTGCAATAACCTTGAACGCAACGTTAACCCCATTTCACCATACATCACACGTGCGTGACACATCACAATACCGGTGTATATGGCTGAAATAATGCTGAAAAAACGTTGATTTTAAATCACTCGCACACATGCATGGTCATCCCTGTATAAGTGCTAAAATGTTGAATGAGTTGTCAAACCCAATTTCACCTTGCCTCATTCTGATATCCTTTCCAGATATACAACAGTTGTAGGTGTGGAGCCCCAATACTAAACCTGAAGACATCGCTTGTGTGAAAGGTGACAGCTCTGCGTGCATCAACTTCAAACTCTGTCATGGCTGCGCCAAGTGAAGCACAAACCAGTACCCATGTCACAGACACAGATGGGAAAAGTATATGTGAGGAGGCACGTACCCAAACAACTGATCCTCAGAAGCAGATGGAGTGTGAAAGTGATACAACCACGGACATAGATGCAGAATGCGAGGGAGCTTGTACACAAACTGACGATCTACAGGACGAGTGTGACAATGAAGCAGACTTAGATGCTGGATGCGAGGGAATATGTACACAATTAAGCGAAATGACTCCTTATCAGTGTAGTGACTGTGGTGAATCGTTTACCCAGCCAGGGGGCCTGCGGACACATATGCAGTCTTACCATGGTCACAGCAAAGCCAAATCTCATCAGTGTACAGAGTGTGGGAAAGCATTTGCACGGACCACTGACCTGGACAGACACATGGGGAGTCACACCGGAATCAAATCTCATCACTGTAAAGAATGTGGGAAAGCATTTACAAGCGCTTTCAGTCTGCAGATCCACTTGAGGCTTCACAGCGTTGTCAAGCCTTATTTTTGTTGTGAGTGTGGGAAGGCGTTCGCGCACTTGGTCGGCATTCAACTGCACATGAAGAGTCACAGCGGCGTCAAACCTTTTGAGTGTGGGGTGTGTGGGAATTCATTTACAAAAGCAGGTAGTCTGCGAACTCACATGATGTGTCACACAAAACAAAAACCTTACCAGTGTGGACAATGTGAGAAATCCTTTGCAACATCCGATACCTTGAAGACGCACATGAGGAGTCACACTGGAATTAAACCCTACCCCTGCACAGAGTGTGGCAAGGCTTTCACGACATCAGGTAATCGGAGGAGACACATGAGGTGTCACAGTGGAGTGAAGCCTTATCCGTGTAGCGAATGTGAGAAAGCATTCTCACGGTCTGCTGACCTGGATAGACACATGAGGTGTCACAGCGCAGACAAAGCCCACAAATGTAATCAGTGTGACAAGGCCTATGGAACACCAGGCGAATTGCAGGATCACAAGAAAACACACAATGGAGGTGGAAATGAATGCATCGTGTGGAAAATTATTTGAAGAATTCTGTAACCTGTTAACACAGATGACATGTCACAGTAGATATATACTGGTAAAAAGTATTATTGTTACTTGTTAAAAAAGGGGCAGTGGGGTAGCGTAGTTTTTATAGCGTTTGCTTGTCACGCCGAAGACCTGGGTTCGATTCCCTTCATGGGTACAGTGTTAAAGCCCATTTCTGGTGTCCCCCACAGTGATATTGCTGGAATATTGCTAAGAGCGACATAAAACCATACCCACCCATTCACTTGTTGAAGAATCTTGATGTGCATCTTGTGCATGCAAGTCGGTTAGCCGGGCTGTACTGATATCTGTTCTCTCTTTTAGTTATTACCCTAAGACTCTTCTGCTGGACAAAGGACAGAGTGTCACACAGATCAAGCAAATAGTTCATTGAAAATGTGTTTTTGTAATTTTTTTAACAAATAGTGAACTCGAGAAGTGCACATGCCAATAGCGGAATGTAGACAAGTGCACTTTACCGGGCGCACATTTTCGGATTTCAATTAGTGATGTGTTTTGGGTTGACTTCACATTGACAGCCTGAAGATAAGCGAGGCTAATGAGTTAGTCTAATAAGCCACCACAGGACCACGGGCGCTTTCACAAATATTTAGTGCTTTTTCACCAAGTCATCAGCACCTCATACCTTTATGCACAAAACTTGAACAGTCTCCTCAAATTACATCGGATTAATTCATTGAAAGTGAATGCTAACCCAAACCATACCTCACAACTAACTAAAAGGTTTGTAAAGGGGTGCCTCACCCTAAGGATTGTAAAGGGGTGCTTCACCAGAAAGTATAGCCCACCCCTAAGAATCATTCCTAAGGATCGTGAAGGGGTGCTTGATCATAAAGTATAGCCTACCCCTAAGAATTAGCCCAAAGGATCGTGAAGGGGTGCTTGATCGGAAAGTATAGCCCACACCTAAGAATTAGCCCTAAGGATCATGAAAGGGTGTTTGATCATAAAGTATAGCCCACACCTGAGAATCAGCCCTAAGGATCGTGAAGGGGTGCTTGATCATAAAGTATAGCCCAATCCTGAGAATCAGCCCTAAGGATCGTGAAGGGGTGCTTGGTCATAAAGTATAGCCCACCCCTGAGAATCAGCCCTAAGGATCGTGAAGGGGTGCTTGATGGGAAAGGGGATCCATGGGCTAAAGATAGAGCTTGGGGTAACCTGACCCGTTCAGCTCTATGTAATCTGTGGCCGCTAAACTGCATTGTTGAGCTGACCAAGTTGTACGTTCATGTACACTCCTCGATCTTCCGTCTACTAGACATGCATTTTTTAAAAGACTGTACAATTTAGGAATGATATGTCCTGGTGCACTACCTCTTTTACAATTAGTTCAAGTGCAACTTGATGATATGATCAGCTTTCCTTGTAAGATATGTACTGCTAAACTTAATTTTTGTTCCAGGATTCTTTTTTGTATAAAATTCTGTGACAGGAGGATGTTTCTCTTGATCAGATTGTGTTTAAAAACATGGAATTTGGTAATTGTGTAACATGATAACCATGATAACAGCTATGTCTAATTGTATTACCGTATTCGATGTAATAAGCGCCCATGGCGACATTTGCTAAGATATTGGCTAGTGAACAATCCCAATTAGCACCCCTTCCGATTGATGAATGTACACAAGACTTATTTATTCGCGTATAATACGCACTTGTGTGATATACATGATATATGCCCCCCTAATTATGGGCATTTAATTTTGAAAAATATATCTGTCGTACTTAAACATTTCAGGCTGACAGCATAAACAACAGAATTTATCTTTCAACTCTTGGGTTTTTTTCCACCAAAATAATATTCTAATAAGAGCCCCCTATTTCTTATTTTGAGAGCGCCCTGGGCGCTTATTACGTTGAATACGGTACTCAGAAAGATTTAGCATTGTGTTTCATGATAGGCAGTAACGTGAAGATAGCCAAAGTAGATAGCAGGCTGTATTATTGATCAACTTTGTAAATATTACTTTTGTTAAATCCATACGGAATTGAAATGTGAATCAAAACATCAGTAGGCATTTTCAGCATTAGCCCAGAAGTGAGTAGTTTTTTAATGCATTGGTACATCACACTTCTCTCTTAGATGATCTTGTGTCCTTCCATAAGATCCAGTTTCTTTTTTATTTAGTTTGAAATAGTTCAAATAAGAAATATAAAAAAAGTTTCAACTTCAAAATTAACTTACTATTAATGAATGAACAAGTATTGGGGAGGTCTAACTTGATGGTTTGACACTGGTTTCGGCATGGTCCATTGTCTTTGTGTGCATCCACAAATACACTGGCAGCAAACGTGGAGAACATCAATCAATGACACTATCAAGATTTTGATTGCTGATGCTGAGGTTGTTTAATGAGTCATGAGCAGCGATAGAAATTGGTACTAGTCCTATCGTCCTGCCCAACAGTAAAGGTATCCTAAGGATGAGTTCAAGTTTGCCATTTTAAGGGTTTTGCTAATTGTTATCATTATAAGGACTAGTGGACTGAAGGTGTTAGTTTCTATCGCTGCATCAGTTTGAGAATAGTTCTGTTTTTGTCCTCTCAGACAGCTATAAATGATAAGTTTACATGTTCCTAAGACAAGACTTCAAAGCTGGCCTAATCAATTTCAAGATTGTTTTTCTTTCTTTTTTTCATTTCGCCATCATTAGTTTTTTACGTCAGCTTTGTAAACAAGCTAATTAATATAAGGCCTAAGGAAGCGAGTAACATAACGTAACTGATGACAGATTGCTTATGTGTAACAGCATTTTGTCGGGTTCATTTGTTTACATTTTCTTGTAGCTCACCTTACCTGAAGGATCACATGGAGTCATGTCATGGTGTACTGTTGATGATTTGTCTGTGTTAATATTAAAGGCTGACATACCAAATTAAAAGCTAAATTGTAAGGTGGGCTCACATTCTCAATTTGTCACTTTTGTTATGTCTGGAGAGGATTAGCATGATTTTGTCAGTGATGAAATGTACATGTTTCCTTGCTTACTTCTGTATCTCTGATTAATCCTAATTGCATCATGATTGAAAATCATGATAATGATCCAGATCCCTGTGGCTCTATTTATTTTTAGTATAATGTTATTACATGAATGGTCTGATTATGAGGGTTGGTTGGACCATTGTTGAGATCGTTCGTTTGTCTCCTGGAAGAACTGGGGGCACGGGGGGGGGCCCAGTCGTCTAAGGCACCGCAATTCGCTGTGCATCTGTGCATCCCTTAGGCACGCCAGAAACCTATGATTGTGGGTTCGAATCCAAGTTCGCCCCGATTATGTTTCTAGGTTTGTCAGCACCATACCCATGCTCATTGGTTTCACCGAAGTGCTTAACGTCTAAGACCTGCATCAATTGGGGCTTTCCTCCCACATTAAGCTGACACACCGTGATATGACTGGAATACTGTTAAAAGCCGTGTTAAACACAACTCACTCAATCACTCCTGGAAGAACTGATTGATGTCCCACTAGACTACTATTGGTATTAGTTACCCTGGATGAGAAGTTGCTTGAATATTGGCACAAGCAGGATTCAAACCATAATGAAATGCAAATTTGAAGTCTTCAGAGATGGTTATTCTTGACAATGGAGAGAATACCCAGTAACCTGAGGCACATCAATTTGCTTTGGAGAGTTGTGTCCCTTGGTCAAGCCAGGGTATGCTGATCATGGGTTTTGAATCTCATAAATACCTATGATTTGTCAGCACAACATGTCATTCTTAATTTGTGCTTTCTTCCACTATACAAGCTCACTCTAACTTGTGAAGGGAACTCAGCATGAACATGGCAAGTGAAAAGATCATCCTACCATGGTACAAGGAGCTACCACACTTCTGCTGAACAAGATATTGCAGAGGCAGATCCATGATATTGTAAAGGGATGTGTGCACAATAGGGCTGGGAAGGGTAACTCAGGTACCCGGGTCGGATGGGTCCTGAGTAGGACCCGGACCCGGACCCGGACCCGTAGTTAGTCACGTGATATATATTGTTTGATGTAAAAAATTATCTAAAACTCTATGGTTACACTATAAGTCACTAATATCCCATTTCTTCTGACTTTTATATGTTTGAATAGAGATAAAACTTCATGCATTAAACTTCAGTGTATGCATGAGTGGATCGTCTTACATGTGTATCTAAATACATTTTGCCAGGGCTATGGTAAAACTTTTCAAAATTGGACAGTTTGTACCTATCTCTAAAAATCTACAGCGGGTACCCGGGTAGGGTCGGGTAATAGGGTGGTGGGTACCCGGGTAGTAAATTTGGACCCGTCCCAGCCCTAGTGCACAACACCCAAGTCACAGAAGTAAACAAAACACATAGTAGGAGGCGAGCATAGGCTGACGGGGACCGGTCATTTATTTTATTTTGGGGTGGTCAGAGGGAATCATAATGAGGGTCACCCAAAAGTATGACAGTCTCTAGGGGGGAATATGAAATAATACACATATTTAGGGAGGGTCTGAAAGAGTTCACATTTTATGATCAAATATATAGTGCTTTTTCATTTTGTCTTTTCAGGGAGGGTCATGAATTTTTTGGATTAAGACATGGGAGGGTCATCCAAAAATATGACAAGCATTTGGGGAGGGTCATTATTTTAGTGTGTGAGTGAGTTGGGTTTAACACCACTTTTAACAGTATTCCAGTTATATCGTGGCATGTCAGCTTAATGTGGGAGAAAAGCCCGAAGTGATGCAGGTCTCAGACATTTACCACCTCGGTCTCAGGTATCATGGCATGTCAGCTTAATGTGGGAGAAAAGCCCGAAGTGATGCAGGTCTCAGACGCTTACCACGTCGGTTTACCACAGGTATGGTGCTGACAAACCTAGAAACATAATCGGGGCGAACATAATTCGAACCCACAATCATAGGTTTCTGGCATGCCCAAGCCAATCGTGGCTCCTTAGACGACTAGGCCACCCATGCCCCCTCATTGTTTTAGTACATTGGTACATTGGTACATTAAGACCCACGCATAAATGACCTGTCCCTTAGATGCCATAAGCCAGTGTTCCCATGACTGGTATGACCAACACCTGGTCTTCCGTTTATAAGCCATATGAAGGATTTGTGCATTTGTTTAGATGTCAAGGAAAAGAGCACATCAAGTTGATATTGAGTTTTGCTGTGTCGGGCATCATGATATAACATTAAACATTTGAATCAAATTTTAAGATAGTATGCAGGGACGTTATAGAATAGAAATAATATGTGTGTATTAGATGAGTCGTCAATTGTCAGTGTTGTACTCTGTTAACAATGATAAAGACAATTCCATATTTTTCTGAGTTGTGCCTTTTGTTTGTAACCTCTGTGGTGTAGTGGATAGAGTGTCTGACTGGAGAAGGTTAGTGGTTCGATCCCCAGTCCATGTCACTCCAAGATGTTAAACGATTGTACTTGTTCTCACCCAACCTGGCACTGGGCATAAAGGTGGGTTTGTTGTTTAACGCCGCACTCGGCAATATTCCAGCCATATGACGGCAGTCTGTCAATAATCGAGTCTGGGCCACACAATCCAGTGATTAATATCATGAGCATCAATCCACGCAATTGGGATCGATGACATGCATCAACCAAGTCAGCGAGCCTTACCACCGGATCCTGTTAGTTGCCTCTTACAACAAGCATAGTCGCCTTTTACAGCAAGAATGGGATGCTGAAGACGTATTCTACCCCGGATATTCACAGGTTGGCCATTAAGGACATAAGACAGACTGATTGGGACTGACGCGTGGGAATGCTTTATGTAGCATATATTCCTTTCTTTGTTCAGGTGAACACCATTCTTGCGTTTACATGTGCTTGTGATGGTGGGACAGGATACACTCACCTTTTCTTGCATACCTCATACCCTCACTATTTGAAAGTCATTCATGATTATGATGTAGTCCTGATTGTACAGGGGCGGTCGGGTAGCCTGGTGGTTAAAGTGTTCGTTTTTCACACCGAAGACCCAGGTTCGATTCCCGACATGGATACAATGGGTGAAGTCCATTTCAGGTGTCCCCCGCAGTGATAGCTGGAATATTGCTAAAAGTGGTGTAAAACCATACTCACTCACTCTCTTTTAGCACTGATTTCTGATCATTGTTGAAAGGGTTTTAACTTTTGTTGCTTTTACTTCGGAGATCAACCTATTTTGCACAAAATCAATTTGTTCCCCAAAGTATCTCCAGTATTTATGGCGCTTTCTTCAAATAATTTTAACAAAATACCTGAGAACTGTGAGGATACCAGGGAGTGCTTTACTTGGGAGTGAAAACATGGGCAATAAATTGCTAATGGTTGCTTCGTTTTTTTGTTTATAAATTCAAAGAGGGGCACTGGTGGCCCAATCTAAGGCGCCACCATTCGCTGTGCAAAGTTGCGTCACTTGGACACGCAAGAAACCTATGATTGTGGGTTCGAATCCTGGTTCGCACTGATTATGTTTCTAGGTTTGTCAGCACCATACCTGTGCTCGTGGGTTTCACTGGTGTTCGTGATGATACTGGGTGTTGGTGATGTTACCAGGTGTTTGAGTATCGTGAACATGTGTTTAAGAATCGCAAACAAATAGTGATGGTACCGGGTGTTCACGAAAAAGCGAGCATATCCTGACCCACCTTTGGCAACCATCACAAACACATGCACAGGCAAGCCAAGTGTTCACCTGAACAAACAGGACCAGATAGTACAAGAAAGAATTCTGGAATTTGGAAGTGTTCTTTACGAAGTTTAGTACATGAATATTCCACTTCTCAAGGCAGTTAACATTAGATCGAACTGCCAAATCAATATCAGGCAGGTTATAGGTCAAATAGCTGGACTGATTTCTTGATAATATACTAGGACACAGATTTGTTCAATAATACAATGACCAGGAACTGGATTCTGAATCGTAAATTCAACAAATATTCTGTAGATTCTAAACAATTTCAACTTGATACCAAAATCAATTAATAGAGACAATTAATTTCATGACCAGGTAAATTGGTCAGACTGAAGATGAACCACAAATTCTGACAAGGAGAAGGTAAGGTGAACCATCTCGCTAAGGTGAACCAACTCGGTAATGTCCAATTCAAGGCTGAAACAAACAGCACATTCAATGTTATCTGACTAACATTTCTGGTCACTTCAGATCAGGGTCTATTGCAACTATATTTATCATACCTTCATGTCAGAATTATAAGATCTGATTGGTTCACGTGATCTTGATAAAATACCATGTATCCCACCATGGAGGGAAATAAATTTCTCGGCGGGAGAATAAATCTATTATACCCCGCCACGAACAAGACGTTATACGACGAGATAGCACAAGTTAACCCCAGCTCAATCGAACGGCTGTTTTGTATCAATTTTGAATTTGTTTTTATTATTTTCCAATGTCATATTAAAACATATGGGTAAGATAAATTCGTCGTAGCAGTATCACTTGGGGTACATGTGGTATTATGCGTCATGTACCCCGAGTGATACTGCTACAACTTTTAGGTTATTCATGACAAGTACATGGCAGGTGAAATATGCCCCGTGTTGTGGGGGTGGCAGTTATATGGTGGATAGATTTACAACACACGTTAATACTTGAATAGTGTTGAGAAATTTTTTTTTTACATAGTATTACTATGTCATGTGTATATCCAATATAGTCTGGCTGACCCACTTTGGCGGTGTGGTAATCGAGTTGTTATCTTGTTTGCTTGTCACCCACCAATCCCTGGTTAGAATCATTCGTCAACACTCGCCCCTTTCCGTAACCTGCAAGAAGACTCGCCCCCCCTATCGATGAATGTTATGTGCGAATTACGACAAACCAATCAGAATGCGTCAAAGAATCCCTCAGAAATAATTTTTGATTTTACATATGTCTTGCATCTAAAAATATACCCAAGACACAGTTAAATGTTTTCAATCATACGGTACAATTCCGCACGTCCCGATGTGCTTTAAATTGCATCTGAAATATATATATTATATGAGGAAATATATGTGAACCATTACGCAACGAGTTGACAATTGTTTTAGGTATGCCCGTTTGTGCAATCTCATTAAAATCAGATCTTAGTTCTCGCTACAACTAAACTGTTTAGCGGTAGCGAGAACTAAGGTCTGATTTTAATGAGAATGTCCGTTTGCGCTAAGACGGAACCCGGTCGCAAAAATGGCGACGAGAGGGGCACGAGTTGCTATTCGGCTTGTCCATGAATAACACGCATGGGAGGATACAGCTTTTTTGAAAAGGGGGGGTGCACAATTAAGATCTATTTATTGTCTTTTGTGGTAATTTATACAGAAATAAAGATTTTTTTATTTCATTTTGATTACCTTTTCAAGACGGGTTTCGAAACTCAACATTACTCCTTGTGCTTACATACAATTCGGGAGGTCCTTTGACTCAGCGTTTATTCGGGACAAGCGTTGTATATATATGTTTTGTAGTTTGTTATTTCCAATAGTGTTTCAAATGTCGCTCCTCCATATCTCTTCGTTGATTCGGTTGAATCGTCATGTTTGAGATTTTCGGTCGGTTATTTAAAATGCAACGTTGTGGAGTTCTCTTTATGGCCAAAGGGAGACAACTCAATCAACGGTGTCACGCAAAAAATCATCTCGTGTTGTAGTTGGAAGAATATATGCCGATTGGACACTGCTGTGGTTTCACGGGCCGCATACCGACGATTGCGGCTTATTCAATAACCTACATATACATCAATACGATTCACTGGCTTTGAGGAGCGGTGCCATTGATGGCCAAGGGGAAGTAACCGTAAATCATGTTTACCATTTGCTAAACCGACTTACCTCATTTTCAAGCTCCTCACAGCGATAGTCCGTTCGCGGAGCTCTCTATACTATGTTACCGAGAGTGTAACGAAGGTGTCACGCGCTGGGAAGGAGCTTGCCTCCTTTTGTGATAAGGGGCATAACTATTGATGTGCTCTACGCGGTTAGCTCCCTTAGGATACATGCCGTGTGTGAAGTTTTAAGCGACCCACTGTTAGGAGTTCACGCCGTTAGAGCAAGGGAGTTAAATCTTGTATAAACTCGAATACCTCCCGTTGACTGTATTGATGTGAGCACACCCTGTTCGGAAATCAGGCATTACATGGTTATCTCCCTTAGACCATTAACTGCATTTTTTTACAACTACGTTTACAGTTCAATCTACGCTTGTGTTTGCACTGACCTTTAGTGAGTGAGTGAGTGAGTATGGTTTTACGTGCTTTTAGCAATATCCCAGCAATATCACGGCGGGGGACACCAGAAATGGGCTTCACACATTGTACCCATGTCGGGATTCGAACCCGGGTCTTCGGCGTGACGAGCGAACGCTTTAACGACTAGGTTACCCGATCGCCCCCACTGACCTCTAGAACATGCATCATTCTTTATGACTCAAAATACCCACATGTATGTTAGGCATATTGGGGATTTAAACTTCTTAAGTACCTTTTTTCGATGGAGGCCCATCTGGGATTCAAACCATATCATGCCACATCCCATTAGTGACTTCCAACATCCTTTGGTACGCGGAGGATTAGCGACTCTGCAGTACGCAGATTCAACATTTTAAATAAATTAATGACGCACGTAAAAACTTCCTATTCAGTTTTATTCAACCATATTACTTCAGTACTTTAACTTCAAATCGTATTTCCTGGGTATACCAGCCTTGTCTCATTTGTGTCAAATATACATTAAGCAGCTGCATGCAGAAGCTCCGTCGTAGTAACTTCAAGCTATATTTTCTCCCGTTTAATTTGCCATGCGTTATATTATAATTCCTTAAATCTGTAACATCACAATAATGCATTTCTGAGGCATCACATGTGGCTGGAAACTTTGATGCTCTGCATCAACGTTAACTTTAATCTACTCATGGACATAATATAAATTATATAGAGTCACGTTACGCCAAAAGCTCCTCGCAGCGATAAGCCAGTTCGCGGAGCTGTCTGTACTTACTATCGCGATGTTACCGAGAGTGTAACGAAGGTGTTACGCGCCGAGAACGAGCTTGTTTGGATGTATGTCAATGACATCGTCACCAACACGTGTTATGCTGGGACAAGCCGAAGATCAGGTTCCGGAAAGGGTGATGTAAGGGGCGCAAATGTATGTGCCCGTTGGGAATTATCTCCCTTTGGACTTTAGGCTCCTCACAGCGACAGTCAGTTCAAGGAGCTCTGATACCGAGAGTGTAAAAAGGTGTCACGCGCTGTGAAGGAGCTTGTTTGGGCGGGAAGTAAAATAAAAGATGGCAACTACGCTGGCTGTTGTGGAAACAACGACATAGAAAAAATAGAAAAGGATGCAACGGTTGAACGGAAACACGTGAAATATGATGGAGATGACAAGGACCTCCAGAATAATGATGAGGGCGGTGAGCCTATGAACTAAAACGAATGTGTGTCTTTGCTCGTCCCGAGGACGATAACTTCAAAATGGCGTCTCGGATGAGATTTGAACCATATTTTAGTACTCGGGCGACTCGGGCGAAGGCCTGCCGTACATGGGCAACACATTCAGAGCTTGGTGGACTCACTCTTGTTTAAACATTGACAACCAAGGCTTTGGTGGGCATTTAGTAGTTACAAGAACGTGAAGATATGAAACATCAGTGGTAGAAACTAACAGTTTTAGCCCACTAGTCCTTATGATGAAAACAAATAGAAAAACGCTTTAAGAGAATCAAATTTCTACTAGTCCTAATGATACCTTAACTATTAGACAGTTTGGCAAGGACTATAGGACTAGAGCCAATTTCTAACGCTGAACATTTATGCGTAACTTCTTTATTGTTTGTAACGACGTTTCAGGGCCTAATTCTTGCCCCTCCATCTAACCACAGGACCATGTAACAATGAAAATATATAAAAAGTCGCAAAAAAAATCATAGACGATTGTTACATGGTCCTGTGATCCAACTGAATAATGCTTGATGAACGGAGGAAGGTAGCCACACCCGAGGAAGGGGCAAGACGTTGCCTTGAAACGTCGTTACAAGCAAAATAGGTTATGCATAAAAGATTAATCTCTCCAACATTGACAATGTTATGACATAGAATCAGGTATCAACTGTAGAAAGTGCACTGAGCCTACTTTCGACAACCCATCTGTTCCACACAGGGGACTTGCAACAGCCTACTGGTCCTATTCCCTTCACAAATCTACAGTGAGAGCAGACTACTGGAAGAGAGCAACCAAGCACACCGTTTTCGTTTTCGACAGTAAAGCCATTAAGTACCTGATGCCCCTTCCCCTCTACCTAATGTTAACAAGAATTCAGGGAACAGGAATGAAATTATTGACATTTTCAACGGATGTTCAACAGTTACTCAGCAACTGTAGTGTTCGTAGATTAAGCTGAATCAGACAAATGTTTCATGTTTAGCTTGTTGATTTATCGTTAACTGTAACTTGAAGATAATTTGTATAAGATATATAATGTATGTTATGAACTTACCTTCCCTGATAAGTCAGAGATATTTCTTGTCAGTTCTGTTGTCTTTACTTACATTGTAAACGACATACAGTCTAAAGGCTTTTCTTAGAAGTTAAGGGATGACATGGGTACAATTTATGGAGTCTGGCTTGACAATCGTATAAGGATCTATACAGAAACTTTGATATTTCTGTATATGAAAGAAATTGTAATCCATAAATTGTTTCTACTTTTCAGACTAGAGTAAGTAATTTCCCCTAGTCAGATCATAGGATGTCAGTAACATGCTGGGTGCATTTCACTTATGCTGGCAGGATTGCAATGCGGTTATTTTGAGGACACAGTATATGAATTGACACCTTAGTGCATGTGCCATTTACATCAACCATTGACAGGGTTAAAAATATTTATTGTCTCTCAACACAAACTTTCCCCATGGAGATTGTTACAGGTATTGCTTGTCTGGGGCATTTTCATGTTTTGTCTATCAAATGACAATAAGTCGATGTACTATATGTGTTTCTGCTTAAAATGTTGTTTCCAGTGACTTCTAATTTGTATCAGTTCGCGGGCTGTCCCAGGCTCTAAAATGTCACATAAATATAGAATACTAAACTCACTCCCGTGTAATACCAATTTTATGAAACGAGTGAATAGTTGTGGTATCTGACGAGCGAAAGCGAGTCAGATACCACAACTATTCACGAGTTTCATAAAATTGGTTTTACACGGGAGCGAGTTTAGTATTTTATTTATTACTTGCCATTGTTAACGTTTTTAGAATTATACTGTTGAGTATGAATAGGCTGACACCTACACGATCCACGGCATAGTCCAATTGAGTTTAACAGAATAATACTTCAAACACGTCAAACGTTGAAACGTATGAATTTAATACCATACAACGGTCCACCTTTAGAATTCAGGCGTCCGTTCCAGAAAATTATCGTAGGGCTAATCGCAACTCACATATTTTAACTTAGACTAACGACTGTCGTTGCGCTACAATACGATCGCCTTGTGGAACGGGTCTTGCACCTCAAAGTTTACAATCACGTCACAATACCCGATGACGTAAATTGTGGAATTTTGTTGCAAGGTCCATCGGCGAAACAATGCCATGTGACGTCAGCCTATCAACAAGGTTGCTGGGGTCATCGGGTGTGCATAAGCTCCTCTCAGTGATCTATCAACTCCATACGCAATGTCGTTGAATAAGCCAAGGAATGTTGAGAGCTTTCAATATTTGTTCGTGAAACGTGTTCCGAGAGTACATAAGCACGCGTTTTGGTATTACACAATGTGTAATAAAGCTGTATGTTTATTAAATGGGTGATCTCTTCACGGGCAAGAAATAAAGAGCCATATACATGTCTAATTAGCGTGAGTGAGTGAGTATGGTTTTACGCCACAAAATTCCATCAATATCACGGCGGGGGACAACGAAATGGTCTTCACACATTGTACCCATGTCGGGAATCGAACCGTGTCTTCGGAGTGACGAGCGAACGCTTTAACCACAAAACTACCCCACCGCCCCACTAATTAGCAAAAAGCAATAGTTAGCGCCATTTGTATGCATTGTTCACTACAGTAATGCACACGTGATGCCTGCATTGCAGTACATAAAGATCTGTAAAGAAATACAGGTAATGCAAGTTGAAAAGGAAACAGTGATATAAATTGTAAAGAGTTATTACACTATTTGGTTTGTGCGTATTTATTTTCATGCGTATTTGTCGGCAAGCAACTCAGAATTATTTTGCTAATGTAACGCAAATACGCCGCTTTTCTGGTGTTCTCTAAAATATGTATAAATTCAAAAAATCTAAATATCAGCTAATCGTTCATTGTTTTAACCCCAAAATTGCAACCGGAAGATGGCATCGAACTAATATCCAATCAAACGCGCGGCTGAAGAATGTTGATCGTGAGACAGATTGAGTTACCTCCCTTCGACATTTCTTCACGCTCGCCCATTCCTACGACAAACAAATTCAAAGAGACAACGGTCGTTAATCAAATCTATTCATCTAACCGCTAATCTCCTGCAGTTATTTTAGAAAGGTAAGACTTCTGACTGATTAATGTATGTTCCTGTTCGAGAAACTAACTGTAAAAATGAGTAGAGTGCGGCCGTGCGGGCAAATGTGGCTTCTCCAGACCGAGATTGACCCGACATTATGTGCATAATAATTTTGGCGGTTAGAGCACCCATACCTCTTTTCCGGTCCGGCTGCTATCGTTGATGACCTGCAATTTGAGAAAGGTATTGATGTGTGTATTTTTTCCCCATTGTTTTTCAACATTATTATACTTGGGCTGGAACTATTTTTTTTGTGATTGTTTGATGCTCGCCATGAAACGCAGTCATAATCCTATAATATCATTGATTGGCTAAATTTCACTGTACAAATACAACATTCGGCTCCAGAGTTTATATTTTCCCACTACATTTGTTAATATAAATATTGAAAAAGTGTAAGATCTACATGTTCTTAATTTCTAGTACTGGGAATGCGGAACAAATAAATACCTACACCTTTTACACAGCCACTGATAGATGGACGATGGTCACTCTCTGTAATAAAGCAACGGGCACTGATGTTCACCTGCTGTACCAAATATACAATCTGCATCAGACTCAATATTGTAATAGTCTGTTGCTAGCTAATTAATAACGATTTCGGGGTAGAATAGGTCTTCAGCAACCCATACTTGCTGTAAAAGGCGACTATGCTTGTCATAAAAGGCGCATCCCATGCATGGATCGATGCTCATGATGTCAATCACTGGATTGTGTGGCCCAGACTCGATTATTTTACAGATCGCCATCATATAGCTGGAATATTGGTAAAACACCATTTGGCTGTAATGAAACAACATTCAAAATTTGCTCTTTGTTTTCCTGGTGGCTACACTGGTTAGAATGACTGTCTAGTCAGACTCTATTTACAGGCCACCATCTAAAGCTGTAATATTGGTACCAATGTAGAACACAATGTGGCAGTTTCCAGTTTAACTTGAAAATGTATAAGTATGCGACCACTGTTATGTGTACTTATTCTGTAGGAATCTATATACATGAAGACATTTTTGACACATGTACACTTTGTTACATGCATGCTGACCGCCTCCGTGGTCTAGTGGTAGAGCATCCGCCCGGATAGAAAAAGGTCAGGGGTTCGATCCCCGGGGCCGCATACCAAAAGACGTTAAAAGATGGTACTTGTTACCCTGCAGAGCTCCAGATAAGCTTTTGGTGTTGTTGGTATTTTACCCATGCATTTTAAAATCATTGGGTATCAGTAATTCTATCTGCGTATTCAAATTTCTGTTACCCACTAGTTTTTACACATGTGGGTATTTAAGTTAAATATTTAAAAACACTATTCATCTAGTCCCTGCAAATTGGTGTCGTGTGGGTTTGAGAGCTTTATAGGACTAAAAAATACCACGATACTTCCACACGATAGTGTGATGGCAAATGATCATGATGTGACTGTCATCGTGGAGTTTGGCAAGGTTGACGGAATGCCCGTTTATAATTTCAAAATAAGTTGCTGATTTGCTAATCGAATACGCAGGGTTACTTCACAATATTTTGATGATACGCACAAATTTTATTTTTGTAGCGTATCTGTAATGTTCGTTGCGTATTTGATACGCTTGGATTTTATTTTACTGCATATTTCTGCATTTTTTATGCGTATTTCACGCAGATACGCAGCTTATCTGGAGCTCTGCCCTGTCTGGCGCTCGGTATTAAGGGGCTAAAATAAGGACTGGTCGGCTTGGAGTCAGTATACTGTGTCTGAGTGGGGTATTCACGTTAAACTGCGGCATGGTATCTCAGTGGGCTAGCACTTTAAATCGGCATCAGTCCGGACTAGTACAAGCAGCCACAAACACGCATGCACGTTGCTATATAAGTGCAATAATCTTGGACGCGGCGTTAAACCCCATTTTACCTCACCTCACCTTGTTACACATATGCACTTGGATGAGAGGTCATTGTTCGAGGATCTTCATATTTTGTGGTTTTAAACGTGTGTAAGACATTTCTAAGAAATATGTTACTTTTGATCATGTTGATGCATTTTTTTTCAATGCTGATGAAATTTCTTTAGAATTACATCATGTACATGTCGACTTTTACAAATTTGTTTTCTCTTATCTAAGTTTCTCTCCCATGAAGATCTGGGCTAGAATTGGTATTCAGAAACCCATGCTTGTCATAAAGAGGCTCATGATGCAAGTTACTGGATTTTCGGGTCAAGATGATTATTTACAGACCACCTCCATGTAGTTGGAATATTACTGCGACAGTGAAACATTAAACAACAAATAAAACTATCCTTCTACAAAATATACTTGCGAACTGTAATATATTGCACTTACAGAAAATAAACCTTACCTTCCTACTGAATGCCTCATCATTCAATCACAGTGATATGCCTACCTGGCATTTTGTCGTGTTCCCTTAATAAAAGTGGTGAGGATTCAAAATTGTACGAGGGGTGGGGCCAAATAGGGGTAATTTGACTATATTGCTTAAAGCGACTTCTTCTCTGGAACTAAGAGATAGATATCAACCATATTTGGGTTGGAAGTATTCTCCAATGGTTGGGATTCAAATTGGAGAAATAGAGGGGCTGAGCCCTACCCCCAACCCTGGGGACTAAGGGGCGGGGCTAAAAAGAGTTTATAACTTTGACACAGTTAAGATCCCCATCGTGTAACCATATGTACAATTGAGAGTATAATGAGAGGAATGCACAGGACTGGCCCTTCTGTTCATCTGTCCGGCACTCCCAATGCAGACTATGAGCAAAGACTTTACCACAAGCTCTGAAAATTGAAATCTGAAAAGAAGTACACAAAATAGTTTGGTTATAAAATGATCATTGTTCACATGGCTTTATATTTATTATAAGTTTTATTTAAAATTGTATTGTGTTCATTCAATATTGTTTACATTAATTTTGGCAACATGGCATCTGAACAGATCGCACCAACTCCAGCAACAAGGATCACATTGCTGCTATTGACGCCTTGAAACAAACCTTTGTTGTCAGAGAATGAGTACATATACCCTAATTATGGTAATCAATGAAATAAGTGCCCCGAGAAAAGTGACGAGGAATGCTTTTTTAACCTATGCACAATGAGTTAATTTGTTTCCAGAGATCAACCAGTCATAGTTGAAACGTCGATAAAAACAAAACTTTTTGGATAATAAATACCTGGCAATTATATATTCTGGAAAATACACAAGAAAATATAGACTGCCTTGTTAAGGTTTGGTTGTAGTAGGGGGTACTTTCAAATTTGTCTATAGTCTGGAAGGTAATTTAAGGTACCGACGTTTACTACAATATCTGAAAAACTATCGGACCTACTCCAGTCAAAGTTGGTATGAGATTATTAAACAGTCATACATAACTGGATATGACATTTAAAGACAATCGGTGCATGAATAAAAAATCTGTCTATTTAGCTATCACTATATTTCATCGTTAAAGTTCAGTCGTTAAACCCGTACCTATTGTTCGGAGTTAAAGTTTTCGAGGTTACATGATTAGAAGTCACTTTCATAATCTGGTAAGTGATGCTCTGATTGGTCGGATGAAAGTTCGTTCTGACGTGACCCGTAATGGGATGTCCTCAGATCTTTGTTCAGCGGTAGTGAGAACTAAGATCTGATTTTAATGAGATTGCAGTTTCACATGTAGAAATTTCAAGCTCAATGGTAATGCTAAAATTAACATGATTACGGTATAGGCCTTGGACTTGCTGTTCCAAAGTTATGCTGCTTTGGGCATGTGACAGTGATGTCAGATCCGGGGTAGAATAGGTCCAGGCTTGCCGTAAAAGGCGACTATCGGGATTGGGTGGTCAGACTCGCTGACTTGGTTGATTCATGTCATCGGTCCCAATTGCGTGGATTGATGCTCATGATGTAAATCACTGGATTGTCTGGTCCAGACTTGATTATTTACAGACCGCCATCATATAGCTGGAATATTGCTGAGTGTGGTGTAAAACAATAAACAAACAAACAAACAGTGAGGTCAACTGTTGCCTGTTGAAGAAAGTCAAAATGGGTCACAACATGTTTGATTGAAAAGATTGGGAACATTCAGCAGTCCTCATGCACACACTGAGAGAACACAGCATTTGACGATATGTTTACAAACAATTTTATGTGCCACCTTTGATATTTTTGTATAGGCATGCATTGTTTTGTATCGATACAGGAACTACTGATGTGGTACCGGTGTTGTGGCACAAAGTATTGTGATGCACCAACATTTGGTGAACCATTATCCCCTGAACTGGTACCAGAACTTCCATTCTTAAGATCTGATGACTTAATAAACTAACACGATTAAAGCAAGGTGTTCTTAAAATATGAACATATTGCCTATTTTTAACTCTATTTGTACAGAGTGCTGGTTCAAGTATCACGACAATTGTTTTTGTTTTTTTATAATTTGACACTGACAGGGATTTATACTCGGGACCAAGTCTACAACAATTGTCATTAAACATGGTAACTATGATTATAACTGATCTCATTCGCTTTTACTGATAGAGTTCCAATGAAGAGAAGGGAACTATAATTTTTACCCATTTTGCTCTGAATGCAATTTTATGATACTTCTGAATATAAGCATGTTAAGAACCTAGACCTTTTAAAAAAATCTCAATTGTCGATAAATTATACATTTTTTCCAAAATTTGCATGTCACAGGCACTTTGTTTAAAGGGGAAGTGTACACGCAAAAATCACTTTCTTTCTTTTTCTAAACAAAACGCAATTTTAGAATTAATTAGTATCTGTGTTTGAAAATACATGTATACACTCATTTTTTTCACAGTGAAAGTAGGAAGCTCACAATAGTGTGAAAATGATATGCCGTTATGAGGCCTTCGTTTTTCGAGCTAAACAGGCCTGAGTTATCCCCCTTAGATTATGACGTAATTGGTGCCAATTCAACTGGGTCCCTGTCTATATTCTCAACACAAAAGATATCAAGTACCAGTTTGCGGTAAAACAACATGGCCAAGACACACTCCGGCGCAGTGGTGACTCAGCATAACACTATGCTGGCTGGCATCTGAGACGCTAGAATCACACACCTAGACCTACACCACGTGAAGCGGCTCTAACAAAGCATGATGACGTCATAATGTTTATCAATTGGCACCAATGACGTCATATTGCAAGGGGCATAAGCCATGGTGTTTTTGTTGTGGAAATAGAACACTTGGTAAATGTGAAAAATATAAATCGTTTTAATGCGAAAAATATGTTAATTAATTGTGATATTTTTATATTTTTGTCTATGACACTTCTATGTTAACACTTTTAATGTGGAAAAAGTACAAGAAAAATAGGTTCATTTCCGTGTGAACTTGCCCTTTAAACTCCGTGATAATTCCCATTATGACATACCATTTTCTTATCAGTAATATCACATATTTTTTACATGTTTCCTCATGCTCATAGACTCTTATTCTCATTGAGGACAATTCCTACACGAATTTCTTTTTTCCTTTTTAGGTGTGTTCCCATGTGACCTTTGTAACATTGGGTTTCCACTGGGTGTTCTTATGCTTATGGAAACATCTGACAAAGTCACATGAAGAAGTGAATGGTGTGGCAATTTAACATTACTCCTGATTCCATGAGGCAGTTTGACTAGAGGACTTTATCATGGAGAAACAAAACCAATTACGGATGAGGAAGAAAGCTTCTAAAACAGACATGAAGAATGGATGTGAGAAAGCATCCATAGAAACAAGTGATGATAACACAGAGAAGGGCATCGCATCCATAGAAACCAGTGATGATAAGACTGACGAGGACAACGCATCCATAGGAACCAGTGATGACAAGACAGACAAGGACAACGCATCCATAGCTAGAAGTGATGATAAAACAGATGAGGACAACGCATCCATAGCTAGAAGTGATGATAAGACTGACGAGGACAACGCATCCATAGAATCAAGTGATGATAAGACTGACGAGGACAGTGCATCCATGGAAACAAGTGATTGTAGGACAGGCGAGGACAACGCATCCATAGCAAAAAGTGATGGGAAGACCGATGAGGACAACGCATCCATGGAAACAAGCGATTGTAAGACCGACATTGAGTATGAGAGTGGGATGATTCCTGATAGGAGTGGTGATGGTAAGAAAGAAGGTTCCAAGTCAAGTGACAAGAAGAGACACAAGAGGAGTCACCTACGCGTCAAGCCATTTCAGTCTAGTGAGTTTTGGAAAGCATTGACAGGGTCAGGTACCCCAAAAGGCCCTGTAAAACGTCAAAGTACACCAAAGCCATATATGTGTAGGGAGTGTGGGAAGGAATTTACAAGGTCAAATGACCTGCGGAGACACATGAGTTGCCACAGTGGAGTCCGTCCCTATCTGTGTAGTGAGTGTGGGAAGACATTTTCACGTTCAAGTACCCTGCAGACCCACATCAGATGTCACAGTGGAGTCAAGCCTTATCAGTGCAGTAAGTGTGACAAAGCATTTAAGGCATCCATGAGCCTGAAGAGACACATGGTGTATCACAGCGGTGTCAAGCCTCATGTGTGTGGCGAGTGTGGGAAAGATTTCATAACAACAAATGAATTACAGATTCACATGAGGTCTCACAGCGGAGTCAGACCATATGAATGTACTGAGTGTGGGAAGGGGTTTACAACATCAGGAAGTCTACATATTCATATGAGATCTCACACTGGAATCAAGCCATATCACTGTACAGAGTGTAGGAAAGCATTTTCAACATCAGGTAACCTGCAAAATCACATGAGGTCTCACACTGGCGTCCAGCCCTATCAGTGTGGTGAGTGTGGAAAAACATTCACACGATCAAGTGGCCTCCAGATACACATGAGGTTTCACACTGGAGTCAAGCCTTATAAATGCACTGAGTGTGGCAAATCTTTTACACAGTCAGGCCACCTGGTGGGGCACATGAGGTGTCACAATAAAGGTAAGGCTCACCTGTGCAAAATGTGCGGGAAAACATTTAAAGAACCAAGTCAGCTGCAGATACACGTTATGACTCACAATGAAGAGGAGCCATTTGAGTGTAATGAATGTGGGAAAACATTTACAGAATCAAGTCACCTGCAGACACACATTTTGAATCACAGTGTAGACAAGCCCTTTGAGTGTGAGAAATCGTTTACAGAATCAAGTAACTTGCAGACAAACATTTTGAATCACAGCGGAGACAAGCCCTTTGAGTGTGAGAAATCATTTATGGAATCACTTAACCTGCAGACCCACATGTTGAATCACAGCGAAGACAAGCCCTTCGAGTGTTGTGAGTGTGGGAAAACATTTTCAGAATCGAATCAGCTGCAGATACATATTTTGAGTCACAGTGTGGAGAAGCCCATAGAACGTAAGAAAACATTTCCAGAATCCGGTAACCTGCAGTCACGCATTATGAATTACACTGCAGACAAGCCCTTAGATCGTGAGGAGAAAACGTATACCGATTCAGATTGCCTGCAGACACACGTGAGCACTCATGGTGGAGAAAAGCCCCTTGAGTGTAATGAGTGTGGGGACACATTTACAGAAACAGGTCACCTGCAAACACACATGAGCACTCACAGTGGAGACAGACCATTTCGTTGCAGCAAGTGTGGGAAAGAATTCACAAAATCCAGTTTACTGCATAGACACATGATGATTCACAGTGAAGCGAATCCCTATGAGTGTGGCGAGTGTGGCAAAGAGTTTGACTCATCAGGTCATCTTCAGTCGCATATGAAGTGTCACAGTCAAATCAAACAGTGAAAGCATCTGCAAAATTATGTACTATTATTAAGCATGTTACATATTGAGTGTTAACATTTATACAAGAAAGCTTTATCAGTGATAAGAACGCTTTTATTTACAATTTACACAAGCTTCCCGAGCAGACATTGGTGGAGAAAGGCTGTGTAAGTCTGGGAATGTCGGTGACATCACATCCTTTGCAGTTGCATATGAATGCAGTCTATGACCTCTCCACTAGCTCGAGGAACAAGTCATTGTATCCAACTTATACAGACGTTCGTCCAGTACGCACAAAAATATTGCATATACATTAAAATATATTGTATCCCGAGGGATGCACAACAACAGCCATTGTACAAGTTCGTGACAAGAAATATAAACATGATAAAGGTATATTATTATAGTCATTATCAGTCTTACAATACAGTACACTCCATTTCATTACTTTACAGGACTATCATATTGCCAGTAGGGACCGGGGGCACGGCTGGCCCAGTCGCCTAAGGCGCGTGATTCGCTGTGCAGAGTTGCGTCCCTTGGGCACGCCAGAAACCTATGATTGTGGGTTCGAATCCCGGTTCGCCCTGATTATGTTTCTAGGTTTGTCAACACTATACCCGTGCTCGTGGGTTTCACCGAAGTGGTAAACATCTGAGACCTGCATCACTTCGGGCTTTCCTCCCACATTAAGCTGACAAGCCTCAATATAACTGCAATACTGTTAAAAGCGGCGTTAAACCCAACTCACTCTCTCTCACACTTGTGCTTCAGATCAGTACCCAATCAAAATCAAACTGCATTTACTGAACATGCTAAATGTGAGTTCAGCCAGCAAAGATGCTGTACTTAAAAGTAGGACCAATGGAGTGACGTACAAGACGTTATTGTTTTATGAAAAACAGCATGCAAAAATCATCAGTCAAGTTCTGGTATTGCCACAAGTTTCAATCATGAAGAATGGTGTGATTTTATTGGGATCTACTTATAGTGTTGTCATTCGAATCGATTCCAAACAAAGCTATTGGGATAATTGGGTCCAGGCATTTATCATACTGTATTTGACTAATAAGCACCCAGGGTGCTTTCAAAATTAGAAATAGGGGACTCTTATTAGTATATTATTTGTGTGAGAAAAAAAAGTTGAAAGATCGTAAATTTTGTGGTTTATGCTGACAGCCTGAAATGATACAAAAGGAACATTTGTGTATTATTCACGACAGATTTATTTTCCAGAATTTAATTGCCCATAATTAAGGGTGCATATAACACACACGTGCGTATTAAACACGAATAAATGAGTCTTGGGTACATTGATCAATCGGAAGGGATGCTAATTGAGATTGTTCACTAGCCAATATATTAGCAAATATCGCTGTGGCTGCTTATTATGTCTCGAATACAGTAATAGATTGGAGATTATAACGCCCTGACTAAGTGAGGCTGTGACTTTTTAACTGGATAATCCAGAACAAATAGTGGGACGGGACACCCATTCATTGAACACCGATGTATAACTGTACAATGTGCCAAACATTTGTTTTGGCTTCAATGAAAACACGAACAGGCTAGGTCAGTCACTGTCATTTAGTAGTTATCATTCTACACCTTGCTTTTTAAGGATTATGAAATGAAATTTGTTAGAAATTCATTGTTGTTTTGCTCTTTTTACAAAGAAAAGGAGGTATGATATGGGCCTTCTTTGGTCCACTGAAAATGTCAAATTTTGAAGTTGCAGAAAACTTTAAAATATTGGAATATATATTATCAGACATGTTCAAATGTTTGTCAAGTAGCCTTTTTCTTCCTTAGACTTGCAAACACCTCACATGGTCAAAATAATGAGTGAAAAAGGTTGATTTTTTGTGTACTTCAAATGAAATTGAAGTATGAGTAGGTCTGTGACCGATGTGGAATAGTTTACAATATGTTTGTAATGTTATGTTTTAATGTACATCTCCAATGAAAATCAGCTCTGGTCAAATACTTGCTCATGTTCAGATATTAGAAAAATGCTCTAATGTCAGCCTCTTTGGCAATTTATCCTTCCCTTACATTGAGTGTTGTTCTAAGTCCAACAGGGGAACAGGTGGCCCAGTTGTCTAAGGCTTCGCGATTCGCTGTGCAGAGTTGCGGCCCTTGGGCACGCCAGAAACCTATGATTGTGGGTTCGAATCCCAGTTCGCCCCGATTATGTCAACACCATACCCATGCTCGTGGGTTTCACCGAAGTGGTAAAGGTCTGAGACCTGCATCACTTCGGGCATTCCTCCCACATTAAGCTGACAGGCCGCGATATAACCGAAATACTGTTCAAAGCGGCGTTAAACCCAACTCACTCCTACAACTTGCTTTACTGATAACTTTGTGTTGTACCTTTGTAGGCATAATGTAGCCTACATGTGCATGTGAGTCTTGATTTTTAGATGGGATCCATTTTGTGTAGGATGTAAATATCAGTGCTAAATACATTATACATACAACATATGTGTACTGCTGCGTTTTTTTGGCCACAAACACCAATGTCAAAGTGGCCTGTAAATAATTGAGGCTTTGCCAGGCATACCAGTAGTGTGTAGTATCATCCATATTTCTTATAATCATTTAAGCAGTTTGCTCCCAGACCTTGTAGGCTAAAATAACAATGATATCCTTGAAAACATTTACCTCAGTTACTATGGTTACCTGTCTTATAGAATCTACAACCAATGTATATTTCTTCTCTATGTGTGTATGTTGCAAATAAAGGTTTCTTGACAATCTTTGTCATTGTTTCTACTGATTTAAGAAAGGCAGAGGAGCTGGTTGACAATCAACACGCCTCTCTTCACTTAACATGCTTAATGCCTAGTAATGGCGAAGAACCTATGCTGTGTTGGGATTGGGGGCACAGCTTGCAAAGCCGTCGCAATTGGCTCTTCAGAGTTGCATTCATTGGACACACCAGGGCCCAGATCCACAAAGCAATCTTAGCGCTACGACTGTCGCAAGTCCGTGTTAAAGAATGGGAGTTACAATCACCTTAGCGCTAAGATCTCTTTGTGGAATGGGGCCCAGAAACCTATGGTTGTGGGTTCGAATTCCCGATTGCCTTGATTATGTTTCTAGATTTGTCAGCACCATACCTATGCTTGTAGGTTTCAGCAAAGTGGTAAACACACAGCTAGTATCTACAATAATTTGAGTGACCTCAGCATGTTGAAATGATCTTGATGTGTAACATAAAAATGAAAAACTAAGATATCTTACGAAATCTGTGAAAAACTTCCAGTACCCGTACTCAGATCTTTTTACTCCAATACAGTACCTCTCTGCATGAAGCTTGCACATCAGGATTTAATAAAAGTGGGAGTTAAATCTGGGCCATTTGTAACCTACAGACTTCAGTGTGGGTAGGTGGAATGGGGGTGGAGTTCCACCAAAGAAATCACAAACACCATATGTAAACCATGACTTATTTCACTCTAACAACCAAATCAATTTGTTATGGTAGACAATGTGCTTACAAAATGCCATCAGATGTGGCCACCCCATGTATAGCATGGCATCTACACCCAAAAGTATGCAGAACGAATGGTATGTTTGTGTTCTGTGGTGCTTTTCATTTGCCAAGAGTGAATTTTACGATTTCTGACCCTCCGTGGCATAGTGGATAGAGTGTCCGGAGAGCAGAAGGTCAGGGTTCAATCCCCGGCTGCGTCATAACCAAAACAATTGTCTGGTCCAGACTCAATTATTTAGAGACTGACATCATATAGCTGGAATATTGCTTAGTGCGGCGTTAAACAACAAACAAACAAACAAATCATACCAAAACACATTAACAGATGGTACTCGGAGACTGAGTGGGGTATTCATGTTAAGCTGTGGCATGGTATCTCAGTGGGCTAGGACTATCAACTCGGCATTATTCCAGACTAGTACAAGCAGCCATGGTGCTATGTAAGTGCAATAATCTTGAACACAACATTAAACCCCATTTCTCCCCACCTCGCCTCAGGGTTAACAAAATTTTCTGTGGAGGTGACTCCAGATGTCCAATTACACAAAAAATCATCAACACGATGTGTTTGCTTTATTATCTCTTGGCATGCTCTGGGGGGCACGGGTGGCCAAGTCGTCTAAGGTGCCGCGATTTGCTGTGCAGAGTTGCGTCCCTTGGGCATGCCAGAAACCTATGATTGTGGGTTCGATTCCCGGTTCACCCCGATTATGTTTCTAGGTTTGTCAGCACCATACCCGTGCTTGTGGGTTTCACCGAAGTGTTAAACGTCTAAGACCTGCATCGCTTCGGGCTTTCCTCCCACATTAAGCTGACAGGCCGTGATATAACTGGAATACTTTTAAAAACCGGGGTTAAACCCAACTCACTCGCTCACTCACTCACTCACTCACTCACTCACTCACTCACTTGGCATGCTTGGTTCACTTAGGTTGCTGATTCTACTCTGCAGGTAGTGAACAGTTTTGTTTAAGCAGCCCCTGTGAGGAGATGATGTTTCATGCTTTATGTGTCTAGGTTTGTCAGCAACGTAGCCGTGCTCGTGGTTTTCACCAAATGGTAACCATCTGACACCTACATCACTCCTGGCTTCCTTTTTTTTGGTTTAACGCCGCACTCAGCAATATTCCAGCTATATGACGGCGGTCTGTGAATAATCGAGTCTGAACTATTCCAGTGATTGACATGAGGGGTTTGCGGGTAGTCTAGTGGCTTTCGCTCGTCACACCCAAGACCTGGGTTCGATTCCTGACATAGACCCTGTTCAATGTACAATGAAGCCCATTTCTGGTGTCCCCAACCGTGATATTGTTTGAATATTGCTAAAAGCGGCGTAAAACCAAACTCGCTCCCTCACTACATACACCTTGGTAATTATGATTGAAGTTGGGCTCCAAAAAGGTTTGAGAACAAGAAAAATTGGAATTTAATGAAACCAATCTCTGAAGCGGGATTTAACTGCATCTATGTTTGGGTGATCCCACATAAGGTCATGGTCACAAGACGTCGAAATTATGAACAGTTCAAATTGCAGGAAATTATGGATAAAACCATAAAAAAAAAATCAACGTTTTTTTACTTCTGTTAAGATGTGAACTGTTAAGTAACTAACTTAAAACATATATTATCATTGTATTAAATGTCAAGGTCTCTGAAAGTCATTCAATCAATTTCATTTCCATTTGTCCTGTTTGTTTGTTGTTAATCAACAATATTCCAGCCATATGACAGCAGTCTGTAAATAATTCTAATGCTAATGCTAAAATGCTACAGTAAAAAAAAGTCGCAGTGTCAGATCACTTGATCCTCAAACAGAAATTAGCAGCTTCATTATATATGCTTTGGTTTGGTTTGTTTTTTAACGCTGCACTCAGCAATATTCGAGCTATATGACAGCGGTCTGTAAATAATCGAGTCTTGACAAGACAATCCAGTGAATGACATCATGAGCATCGATCCACACAATTGGGATATGATGACATGCATCAACCAAGTCAGCGAGCCGGACCACCCGATCTCGCTATGACAAGCATAGTCGCCTTTTACGGCAAGCATTGGTTGCTGAAGACCTATTCTACCCTGGATCTTCACGGGTAGGCTGCTGTTATCTGTATGTAGGAGCAGGATAGGAACATTTGACATGCACAGACACTGCCGCTACTAACATGAACAAATACTTATGCTTCCGACAGTTGTAAAAAAGAAATTACAAAAGTATCATTTTTATGTAAATAGAGGTTATCACGCGAGTGTGTTTGGGGATGGTAAATATCCTGCATTAGGAATAAACATTGTATTTAGCGAGCCTTGGCTCTATACATAGTGTTTATTCCTAATACAGGATATTTACCATCCCCAAACACACAAGCGTGATAACCTCTTTATCATATAATGTCATTCTTTAATTCTGTGCTTCAAAATCGTTTTCCCTCTCTCATAAACATTACCGAAACATTGCGAGTTTTCCTGGAATGCGCGCATTAATATTTATTACGCCACAGGGTAAGTGATGTGTCAGTCGGACAGTGACAGTAGCCAATATAGTTCCAACTGCAATCTGTTTCTTATACAGTGGCGAGGCAACATATACGCAAAACGTCAATTGATTTTAATATCCTTTCGCGGCAATCCATCGGTCTGTCCGCTAGAGTAACTGCCCTTTGTCAAAGGGAAGCTACTCTAAACCCAGTCTACGAGACGTCACGGCTACAGTCAGACGTTGTTGACAGTCGGTCTGTCCTGTCATAACGTTAAGCAGTGTAGTCAGATGTACACATAGCGACAAAACGAAAAAAGGTAACAATTCAAACATATTTCGGCCAAATCCAACTATTTTAATTTGTGGAGAAGGTTTCAAGCACAGATATGGTTACTGATCCCGCTTGGCTAGGCCTCGTGCCCTCGCAAAATTGTTTCTCCAAAGTTGCCAAAACTTATAAAATGCCTTCGCTACGTCACAGTTAGACACTGTTCTTTTGATAATGATAGCAATTATCTCTGTAGTTTATCCAGATTCCCGATGGTTAATTCTGACTCGATCGCCGAATGACAAGGGCGACGCCATGTTTGTTTATAAACAATGAAAGTAGTCCCTACTTGACCTTTGATATTTGCATCTCTATCCGCATATGATGGTTTTTATCCGTTGGCTTTATCCTGCCGAGAAACCTACCCATTATATGATAAAGGTGAAATACGCGTACTAACGTGTGACAAGAGATTACAATCTTATGATAACAGAAGTAGGTCAACATTTTGATGTTGCATTGAACAGCGCCATGATCTTGGGGCATCATATTTGTTTATTTGCCGTGTAACCCTTGGAAATCTTGAAGTACTTGGCATTAATATTGAAGGTCAATGATTCACTCTCAAAGCATATTTTTCTCAAATATGTATTATGTGCATATTAACTCAAGAAGTGTCTATAATGTTAGTGTATATCAGTGTTCTGCATATCAACCTTAGAGGTGGGAATTTAAGTTTTGTTTGTTGTTAAACTCAACACTCTATAGGCCCGTGAAGATCCGGGGTAGAATAGGTCTTCAGCAACCCATGCTTGCCATAAAAGGCGACTATGCTTGAATATTGGAATATTGCTGAGTGTGGCGTTAAACGACAAACCAAACCAAACCAAAACCAACACTCTATATTGCAGCTATATGATGGCGGCCTGTAAATAATTGAGTCTTGACCAGACAATCCTGAGCAGCGCCTTATGATGAGCATGGGTTGCAGAAGATCAATCCTTACCCTGATCTTCATATTTTCACCTTCATTAAAGGTCAATGTTACGGTTGATGTGATTGGTTGAAATTGAGGGCAAGGTCATTAAACCTGAAGTTCATCGACCTGTATTAATAAGGTAGCTAGAGGCATGGGATGTCCTGTTTGAAAGTCCTACTTCACATGACATGTGTTCCACAAACCTGAAGTGTAGTAATCAAATCAAAAGTTCATGTAAGCTTCTTGGGATTTACCCAACAGCAGCTCATTCTAACTATAGATCAAAGCGAAGGTCGCATATGGGTGCCCTGAACCCGACTTGAGAGTGAAACCAATCTCACCTCCAAGCAGAGTGGACTGCCTCCGAGGTCTAATGGTAGAGTGTCCGCACGGAGAGCGGAAGGTCCGGGGTTCGATCCCCGGCCGCGTCATACCAAAAGATGGTACTTGTTGTTATCTTGTCTGGCGCTCGGCATTAAGGGGCTAAAACAAGGACTGGTCGACTCGGAGTCAGTATACTGTGTCTGAGTGGGGTATTCATGTTAAACGGCGGCATGGTATCTCAGTGTGCTAGCACTATAAATCAGCATCAGTCCGGACTAGTACAAGCAGCCACACACACACATACACGTGCATGCAGGTCGCTATATAAGTGCAATAATCTTGGACGTGACGTTAAACCCCATTTCACCTCACCTCACCTCCAAGCAGAGTGCATATGGAAATAGTGCCAAGTAGACATCTTTCAGCGGCATTTAAGTAATCATTTAAGTGTCACTTGAAGTTGTTTTTCAGTCAGTTGTTTGACATAAACAGATCATCTCATTCTACCAAGATTGTTATGTGCTGACGTTTTTCATAGAAAGCACTAATGAATGAAAAAGTAGTTCCACATGAGGTCACAGAGATCAAGGTCGGTTCACCCACCATTGGAATTCCTTCTAGGGCTAATTACACATGGGCAACAAATGATTTTTCATACTCAGTTATTTATGTCTGTATGGATAATAAAAGGTTTTGATTTAGCTTTGAGACATGGGTCTTTATTTCTAAAAGTAGTCTTGCATTGCACATTGTTTTCACCAACTGGTTGTGATATTTAAACCGATTGTTACTTTCTCACTAAGGTAACTAGAGACATAGGATTTTCTGGTTTTAAATTGTACTGCATCAGATATGTGTTTTCCAATCAAAAAGTGATGCCATTAGACTTTCAGTAATATGCTCTTTCTATGGTCTTTATCAAGTCAGGGGGCGGTCGGGTAGCCTAGTGGTTAAAGCGTTCGCTCGTCACGCCGAAGACCCAGGTTCGATTCCCGACATGGGTACAATGTGTGAAGCCCATTTCTGGTGTCCCCCGCCGTGATATTGCTGAAATATTGCTAAAAGCGGTGTAAAACCCAACTCACTCACTCACTCACTTTATCAAGCCAGCAAGGTGTCATGGTAATGGAAAGGTTAAAGTGATTGATACCATCTTTGTCCCAGTCAATCCCTTTATCTGTTTCAAACTCTAATTTTCCTTTTCAGTACCCATGTGACCAGTTATGTGGGGTTTCCACTTGGAAGTTCTTGGATGCAACGGAAGAAGGTGTATGAACGATAATGAAATAAACCAATAAAGGAGATGGCCAACTGAAGGCAAACTGAACTATCATTCAAATATGGAGACAGCAGACCAAATACAAATGACCACATGTGAAAAAGTGTTGATGGAGACAAGTGATGCTGAAAAAACTGTTCAGTGTGATATGGAACAAAAGCCTTATCTGTGCAATAAGTGTGATAAAGTATTTACTTCATCAAGTGACCTGCACGAGCACACCAACAATCACAGGGATGTAGAGGTTTTTCAATGTGGAGAGTGTGTTAAAGAATTTGCTTTGTTAAGTGACCTGCAGAAGCACACAAAGAGTCACAGCGATGTTAAGCCTTTGCGTTGCGAAGAATGTGATGAAGTATTTACTTCATCAAGTGACCTGCAAGAGCACACTTATAATCACAGGGATGTACAGGTTTTTCAGTGTGGAGATTGTGTTAAAGAATTTGCTTTGTTAAGTGACCTGCAGAAGCACACAAAGACTCACAGTGATGTTAAGCCTTTGCGTTGCGAAGAATGTGATGAAGTATTTACTTCATCAAGTGACCTGCAAGAGCACACTTATAATCACAGGGATGTACAGGTTTTTCAGTGTGGAGATTGTGTTAAAGAATTTGCTTTGTTAAGTGACCTGCAGAAGCACACAAAGACTCACAGTGATGTTAAGCCTTTGCGTTGCGAAGAATGTGATGAAGTATTTACTTCATCAAGTGACCTGCAAGAGCACACTTATAATCACAGGGATGTACAGGTTTTTCAGTGTGGAGATTGTGTTAAAGAATTTGCTTTGTTAAGTGACCTGCAGAAGCACACAAAGAGTCACAGCGATGTTAAGCCTTTGCCTTGCGGAGAGTGTGATGAAGTATTTACCTCGTCAAGTGACCTGGAGATACACAAGAAGAGTCACAGTGGTGCCAAGCCATTACAGAGCGGAGAGAGTGATCAAGAATTTGATTCATCAAGTGACCTGGAGATACACAAGAAGAGTCACAGTGGTGCCAAGCCATTACAGAGCGGAGAGAGTGATCAAGAATTTGATTCATCAAGTGACCTGGAGATACACAAGAAGAGTCACAGTGGTGCCAAGCCATTACAGAGCGGAGAGAGTGATCAAGAATTTGATTCATCAAGTGACCTGGAGATACACAAGAAGAGTCACAGTGGTGCCAAGCCATTACAGAGCGGAGAGAGTGATCAAGAATTTGATTCATCAAGTGATCTGCAGAAACACAAGAAGAGTTCCTGTATTGCCAAGCCATTACAGAGCGGAGAGAGTGATCAAGAATTTGATTCATCAAGTGATCTGCAGAAACACAAGAAGAGTTCCTGTGTTGCCAAGCCATTACAGAGTGGAGAGAGTGATCAAGAATTTGATTCATCAAGTGATCTGCAGAAAAACAAGAAGAGTTCCTGTGTTGCCAAGCCATTACAGAGCGGAGAGAGTGATCAAGAATTTACTACATCCAGTGACCTGCAGACACAAAAAAAGAGTCACAGTAGGGCCAAACAAGTGAAGTTTGATCAAGAAATTATTTCATCAAGAATTCTGCGAAAACGCAAGAGTAACAGTCGTACCGAGCCATTACAGTGCGAAGAGTGTGACCAAGAATTTTCTTCATCCAGTGTCCTGAAAAAACACAAGAAGAGTCACAGTAGAACAAAGCCATTACAGTGCGAAGAGTGTGACCAAGAATTTTCTTCATCCAGTGTTCTGAAAAAACACAAGAAGAGTCACAGTAGTACAAAGCCATTACAGTGCGAAGAGTGTGACCAAGAATTTTCTTCATCCAGTGTCCTGAAAAAACACAAAAAGAGTCACAGTAGTGCCAAGCCAGTGAAGTTTGATCAAGAAATGATTTCAAAAAGAATTCTGCGGAAACGCAAGAGTAACAGTCGTACCGAGCCATTACAGTGCGAAGAGTGTGATCAAGAATTTTCTTCATCCAGTGTCCTGAAAAAACACAAGAAGAGTCACAGTAGTACAAAGCCATTACAGTGCGAAGAGTGTGACCAAGAATTTACTTCATCAGGTGAATTAAAACAACACAAGAAGAGTCACAGCAGCACCAAGCCATTACGGTGCATGAAGTGTGACCAAGAATTTACCTCATTAATTGAGTTAAAAAAACACAAGAAGAGTCACAAAGATACCAAGCCGACACAGTGTGGTGAGTGTGATAAATCATTCACTAATGCAAGTGATCTGAGGAGACATATGAGGGGCCACAGTGGAATCCGGCCTTACCGTTGTGGTCAGTGCGGGAAAACCTTCGCACAAACATCAAACCTTAACGCACACCTGAGGAGTCACAGTGGAACCAAACCCTATTTGTGCAGTGTGTGTGGGAAAACGTTCACAGAATCAGGAACTCTGCGGACTCACATGAGATGTCACAGTGGTGAAAAGCCTTTTCTCTGTAAGGTGTGTGGGAAAACTTTTTCACGATCAAATCACCTCAAGAGACACATGAGAGGTCACACTGGAGACAAACCATATCGTTGTAGTGAGTGTGGAAAATCATTCGCACAATCAGAAACTTTACGGATACACGCGAGGACTCACAGTGGAACCTGTCCTCATAAGTGCAATAAGTGTGATGAGGCATTTACGACTTCTTATCATCTGCAAAGACACATGATACGTTGCCATAATCAGCCTGGAGTCAAGTCCCATCGATGTAATGAATGTGCGAAAGCATTTCTACGACTATCTGACTTGGAAAGACATATAAGGTGTCACAGTGGTGACAAACCTTTTGAATGTAGTGAGTGTGGGAGAACATTTGCACAAGCAGGCACCCTGGCGAGACATGCAAGGTCTCATGATGATGTCAGGCCATTTCAGTGTAGTAAATGTGAAAAGGCATATTTACAGTCAGGCAGCTTGCGGGATCACATGTTGGCATCACATAGCAAAGATAAGCCTACTAAATGTAGTAAGTGTGAGAAATCTTTCACAAGACTACCTGACTTGGAGAGACACATGAAGTGTCACAGTAAACACAAGCCTTTTGAGTGCAGTGAGTGTGACCAAGCATTTATACAACCATGGGACCTGAAGCGACACATGAGGTGTCACACAGGAGAGAAGCCTTATAAATGCAAGGACTGTGGGAATTCATTTACCCAGGCATGTTCTTTACAGACTCACAGAAGGAAACACTGTGGAGGCAAAGACAAAGACAAAAGCAAATGCAAAGACAAAGGAAAAAACAAAGACAAAGAAGACAAAGACAAAGAAGACAAAGGAGACAGAGTCAAAAAGAAAGACAAAGGAGACAAAGGCAAAGGAAAAGGAAAGGGCAAAGGAAAAGACAAAGGAGACAAAGACAAAGAAGACAGAGTCAAAGACAAAGAAGACAAAGACAAAGGAGACAGGGTCAAAAAGAAAGACAAAGGAAAAGACAAAGACAAAGGAGACACAGAAGACAAAGACAAAGAAGACAGAGACAAAGACAAAGAAGACAGAGTCAAAGACAAAGAAGACAAAGGAGACAAAGACAAAGAAGACAGAGACAAAGACAAAGAAGACAGAGTCAAAGACAAAGAAGACAGAGTCAAAGACAAAGAAGACACAGAAGACAAAGACAAAGAAGACAGAGTCAAAGACAAAGAAGACAGAGTCAAAGACAAAGAAGACAAAGGAGACAAAGACAAAGAAGACAGAGACAAAGACAAAGAAGACAGAGTCAAAGACAAAGAAGACAGAGTCAAAGACAAAGAAGACAAAGGAGACAAAGAAGACACAGACAAAGAAGAAAAAGACAAAGAAGACAAAGAATAAAGAGACAAAGACAAACTATTTAGTATCTGGCAGAAACATGTCAGGTGTCACAGACAAGCACATTGTCAGGAAATACTATAATAACATGTGTGCATGCGTGTATGCTAATGCTAATTTTACAGTGCCAGCCCATTGACATGCCAGGTCGCAGTATAACATGAATAACCCACTCAAGACACAGTATACAGACTTTGAGCCAACGAGTCCTTGTTTTATCCCCTTACTGCCGAGCGCCAGGCAGTGTATCTACAAGTACCTTCTTCTTCTAACGTCTTGTGGTATGTGTTTGTCAGCACCATACACATGCTCGTGGGTTTCACCGAAGTGGTAAACGTCTGAGACCTGCATCCCTTCGGGCTTTCCTCCCACATTAAGCTGACGCGTCGTGATATAACTGGAATAATGTTAAAAGCGCCGTTAAACCTAACTCACTCACTCACTCATAATGTACGTCCGTGTCTACATGTTACCATAGCTTGTACTTACGTACATCCATGTCAACATGTTATCATAGCTTCTTCTTAAGTACAAGTTGCTAACATAATATGTAGAATTGTAGGTTGGTCAATTTGTTCACATAATTTGTAGTATAGTATGCTGGGCCCCGTTCCTCAAAGCGATCTTAGCGCTACGATGATCGTAACCATATGTTAAAGTATGGGACTAACGATCACCTTAGTGCTAAGAAAGCTTTGAGGAACGGGGCCCAGGTCAATTTGCTTACATGATCTGTAGTATAGTATGCTTGTCAATTTGCTTACATAATTTGTAGTATAGTATGCTGGTCAATTTGCTTACATGATCTGTTGTATAGTATGCTTGTCAATTTGCTTACATGATCTGTAGTATAGTATGCTGGTCAATTTGCTTACATGATCTGTAGTATAGTATGTTGGTCAATTTGCTGACATGATCTGTAGTATAGTATGCTGGTCAATTTGCTGACATGATCTGCTTATCATGGTATTCAGTTCATGCTACTATTCTCTAGTTTAACACTTATTACACTGAAAGTCAAGTGAGCTTATGTCATGGCCTGCATGTCCTGCGTCCATTGTTGTGGGCGCCATGGTTATCTGTAAACATGTTCTCCCCTGGTACCACCTGACCAATGAAACTGAAGCGCGACAGGCTTGTTCCTACCAATGATGACTCCTGAATTGGTACTAAGGTTTGAATCTGATTTCGATATAGCTGTCATAGCAGCCATATGTAAAAAGTCATTTTGGTTCAAAATGCACTGTAATGCTTTAATTTCTCTCAAAATGTATTGTTGGTGCTGTAATACCCCAGTTTAATTTTCATGTTACGAATAACAACTAGTGGTTCTCTGTTCAGTGTCCAGAGACTGAGTTTTCTCCCCGGCAAGGGTGTGGAGAATTTTATAACACCACAGGCACTGTTTTGCCTTTGAACATGTTGAAAAATTAATCTCTTTGGAAGTTATGTTAGGCTCACAGTTGAAACTTTGTATAAAATAAATTTAACTGTTGTGTATTCCAACAGTGTTCCGCATCATGCATACAGGTACATTCATTCTTGTAGATTTAGAAAGGTTATGGAACTGTAGTTACTTGATTGGCCCGAGAAGATCCGGGGTAGAATAGGTCTTCAGCAACCCAAGCTTGCTCTAAAAGGCGACTATGCTTGTCGTAAGTGGCAACTAACGGGATCGGGTGATCAGGCTCACAGACTTTGTTGATGCATGTCATTGAATCCTAATTGCTTGGATCAATGCTCATGATGTCATTCACTGGATTGTCTGGTCCAGACTCGATTATTTACAGGCCGCCGTCATATAGCTGGAATATTGCTGAGTGCAGTGTTAAAAAACAAACCAAACCAAATCATATATAATGAAGCTGCTAATTTCTCTTTGAGGATCAAGTGATCTGACACTGCGACTTTTTTAACTGTAGCATTGTACCAGTTAGTATGGACTCCTTGGTTTGCCTGGTCCAAACATAATCCTAGCTGGAAGATGGTATTGCAGTGAGTGAGTATGGTTTTACGCCGCTTTTAGCAATATACCAGCAATATCACGGCAGGGGACACACATTGTACCCATGTCGGGATTCGAACCCAGGTCTTGGGCGTGACGAGCGAACGCTTTAACCACTAGGCTACCCGACCGCCCCAGATGGTATTGCAACTGGCTGGAGGTGGTAACATTGTGGAGGTCAGGAAACAACAGGGACAATATGATGAGCAAGTAAACATGGTAAAGGATGTCATAGACTATTTCGGGGCGGTCGGGTAGCCTAGTTCGCTCGTCCCGCCGAAGACCCAGGTTCGACTCCCGACATGGGTAGAATGTGTGAAGCCCATTTCTGGTGTCCCCCCACCATGATATTGCTGGAATATTGCTAAAAGCGGCATAAAACCATACTCACTAATAGACAATTTCAACCGGCATGGGTGACCCAGTTATCTAAAGCACTGCAATATTGCTGTGCAGAGTTGCATTCTGTGGTAAGTTTACATCCGCGAACAATGTTGTGATTAACTGCTCTGAGGGTTCAATCCTCGCTATATCATATAGAAATAAGGCCCGCAACTGCTAGCTCGGAACTAGGGATTTTACCTGTTAAAAGCTTCGTTGCAGACGACCTCATTTCCGGCAGCGTTCGGCCTCGTGCATTTCTGCCTCGGCTGCCCGAGAACTTTCGAGGGAAACCGAATGCCTCCAACCGGAAGTGGAGGTCGTCTCACTACAATTCCTTTAGCATGCCAAAAACCTGAATAAATTTTCTGAGGAAACACATTGTGTTTTTGTTTACAAAGTTTACATATGAATGACAATAGAAACACAGAAACTGAAATCTATTCTGATTAATTAACATCTCGTCAAAGATGTTTTGATAATCCGAAAAGAGATCATTAACGAGAAGCTGGAAACAAACGCAATCAAAAGAGTTTCTAAATGTCAACTGAGATGTAAGTTTCATGAATAATAGGACAAATGAACATTTGCAAAGTAAAAAGCAACTTTTTTCTCCAGTGACCACAAGGACTATGATTGGGGATACATAGAGGTCGTATAAGTACGGAAACTGTCAGGAATGAGACAGACAGACCAACACATTCGTGTCTTAGTAACGTTGTGCCCATGTCACAGTGTAAGTCAATAGCTGGTGTAGCCACCTCGTACACGATCAGGGGCGGTCGGGTAGTCTAGTGGTTAAAGCGTTCGCTCGTCACGCCGAAGACCCGGGTTCGATTCCCGACATGGGTACAATGTGTGAAGCCCATTTCTTGTGTCCCCCCGCCGTGATATTGCTGGAATATTGCTAAAAGCGGCGTAAAACCATACTCACTCACTCACTCGTACACGATCACATCCGCAAGACATCAAGTCAGACGCCTGATCCTCAAATGATGGATGTGTTACCATTCCTGATGCCGTGCCTGGGTCAGTTATCTTGGAGATTCTGGACTGGAAGGTCCCCGGCTCTAACCCTACGTCCCAAATGATCCCATAAATGCTCATTTAGAATAAGTTCGGGGCTTCGAGAAGGCCAAGGCAGAGGCTCAGTGGCGTTGTTCTGGAGATGGTCAGTCACAGATGTGCTCGGTTGGGTCGGAAATTGTCGTCGATGAAGACAAGTGCATGGTTATCAAAATGAGGCACGACAAATCAGTCCAATATGGACCCGGATCGCCCTCATTATTTTTCTAGGTTTGTCAGCACCATACCCGTGCTCGTGGGTTTCACCGAAGTGGTAACCATCTGAGACCTGCATCACTTCGGGCTTTCCTCCCACATTACGCTGACACGCTGCGATATAACTGGAATACTGTTAAAAACGGCATTAAACCCAACTCACTCACGGTATGATTATGAGCCTGCATATTCTTAACTATAACAATTGAACAAATACAATATTTATTTAATATTGAAAACTTCAACAATTCCAAATTTTGATGCGTCAAATAACAAAAATAATTGCCTTTTAAGTGGCCCACTGTTGAGGATTTCGGATTAGCATTGGTCCCTATGTATTTCAGTTTTCTGTTGAGGGGTGACACAAGAGTAGAAAAAACATTTCAGGTATGGAACAATCTACATTAATTTCCTTCAGGGTGATATTTCTCTAAGAAACTCCAACTGTTGATGAAATGCTTCCCATTACCTTGAAAATGAGGTCAAGGTCCCTTGGGCTGGAACAAGTCCAAATTTACCATCCACGTACCCGACTCTATATTATCTATATATATTATATATATCTGGGTAGATCTCAATAGTTGGACCAATAGGCGTTAAAAGATGGTACTTGTTGTTACCCTGCCTGGCGCCCGGCATTAAAGGGCTAAAACAAGAACTGCTCGGCTCGGAGACAGTATTATGTGGGCTAACAGCTATGGGATGGACGTAACTAGTTCATTTATCTATGAACGTTTATTGATAATGTTGCATGTATGCATTACCTGATAGGGGCAACATCCTTATGGCAGTCGGGGTGGTGATCATGGGGATTAATTAAAGACAGGCCAAATGAGAAATGCCTTTCAGTATTTTATAAGCTAAATGGACACGTGAAGATCCGGGATAGAATAGGTCTTCAGCAACCCATGCTTGCCGTAAAAGGTGGCTTTGCTTGTAAGAGGCGACTAACTGGATCGGGTGGTCAGGCTCGCTGACTTGGTTGATGCATGTCATCGTATCCCACTTGCGTGGATCGATGCTCATGATGTCAATCACTGGATTGTCTGGTCCGGACTCTATTATTTACAGACCGCCGTCATAGAGCTGGAATATTGCTGAGTGCGGCGTTAACAAAAAACAAAACAAAAACAAACATAGGACAAATGGAAAGTAGGCCAATCACACCTACTGTGTGTAGTTTCTCCAAGATCATGTCAAAAAGACACCATGTCAAACTGTCAACATAATGATACAGATAGAATTAAAAAGGAAAACGAACCATGGTTTGAATTTATTACATTTGACATTGAAAAATCTCTCACAATATTAAGAATTGCTGTCGTTGTCCAACTTT